TGAGGCCTGACCAAAGCAGAATACAGTGGCCCTATTACTTCCCTTGATTCTACATACTATACTTATATTAATGCAGCCTAAAATTGGCCTTTTTAGCTGCAGCATCACATCTCAGATAATGGTAAACCACCTCTGGACAAATCTTGCCCAGAAAACTCCATGATAGGTTCCCCTTAGGGTAGCCATAAGTCAGAAATGAATTGAAGGCAACCAACAACATGTGTCTTTTTGTCATCGCAGAGGGAGGAATTCACTTCTCCTTACACAACAACCAACCCATGAGCCTACCTTTCTGCTTGCTGCCTCCCCAACAACCACTTATTTGCTGATGGACAATGGAAGACAGTGAAGAAGCATCCAGCTCTGTGCCTATAGCTGGACAAATAGCAAGGGACCTCCACTCCTCTGCTGTTCCCCACACTCCACCAACCAGTAATTGGAGTGGAAATATGAAAAGAGTAGGTTTTGGAGATATGAGAGAAGATGGGATATAGTTCTGCTCGGACAGAATTTTATGCTCTCAATTTCCAATGTAGGATCTTGAGATTTTTACTTGTGTGCCTTCAAGTCATTTCCAACTTATGGAGCCCTTAAGGTGAACTTTATCAAATTGTTTTCTTGGCAAGACTGGTTCAGAGGGGGTTACTTTTGCCTTCCGAATCAACTAAGCCAACTAAACATGCATGTTTAAGAAGATGAGTGCTGTAGGTTGCCAATGCTAGCATGGTGTCTGCACGTATGAGCAGTTTGATGGCAGGGTGGCTTGTAGACTTAAGAATAAAACAGGTGCCTATTGAACGGGCCAGATATATTTGTATTGCAGGGACCACAAAAGCCATTTAGTCCAAAACCTGCCATTCCATCCTGTTCTGCTAAGAAATTTTAAAAGTTTAGTGATAGTTCCCTGTTTAAAAAAAAATAAGATTTTAAAGCACAAAAATACACCATCTTGGTAAGCTTCATCTGCACAAAAGAGGCAGCTGTGAACCTTAATTTATTTTAAAAGGGGTGGACCCCAATTATAGTCAGTTTGAATCCTGGACCAAAATAGCCTTATAAAAGCAACACATTCTTAATTTCCATGCATTTTCTTCTCTGTTTATTTTTGTCTTGAAGGATGGAGCATCATTTGTTAATTTAAATTAAAATGCCCACCCTTGATTAAGAAGCAACACTGCAGTGCCTGCTTTGTTGCTAAGTCTCAGACTCCAGTGGTCTGAAACAAGGCAGCATCATTAGCCAAATATTTCAACTGTGTTTTGTGACATAGCAATTTCTCTCCAAATCCTATTACCCTCTGCGGAGGTATGGAAAACCATTTCATTTTCATGGCTTGGCATGACTTTTCCTTCTTTTATTCAGTTCTTTTCTATACAGTATTATGAAACCCAGTTTCTACTTTCCTAGCCATTTTGGTCATAATGAAACCTGAACTTTACAAAAATATTAATGCAGCAGTTTTACATGCCGGTAATCTTATAATGCCTTCCTTCCCTAATCACATATCTCTTTATGTAAAAATTTGACAGTTGCTCTGTAAATGAGGCATAATAAGTTTCTCCTTTCACTTCCCCTGCGTATATTGAATTATGGTGGCAATTTTTTTAAAAAAAAAAATGCACAAAAATATCATTTGCTCTAACAGAACGGCTCAGGCAACCAAAACTCTGCATCCTCAAAAATAACCCAATTGCCTCAGCTGATAATACATCACCGAGTCCAGCATTATTATCACAATGGTGCCCCAAGGCTCTAGTCAGCATTAACTTTGACTTTTATGAGTTTATTTATTTAGATATCTTATCCACCCCCACTCTGAGGTTCAAGATTTAAAGTTACAAATACACTTTACGAGCCACTCTTTATCCACAAAGAGATTTTAACTTCATCTTCCAGGCTGTGTCCTTCTACCACTATTTACAATGCAGAGTTGAAGTGGAAAATTATAGCCATTCATCATGATGATAGTCATTATCACCAGGTCCTGGAAAAGAGTAAAAAGTAGGGGGTGGG